GTCGGAAAGATCCATTCCTGGGTTCCTTGGCCGCAAAGTATAAATGGCCTGAATTGCCCAGTTAGCGGCTTTCCTTTCAAGCTCAAGATTCTATCCCTTCATCTGGTCAGTCAACGAAGCAACCCGCCCTCGGGAAAGCTTAAGCTTCGTTTCCAGTGATCTCCACTACTTCTCAGAGGTCTCTTACAATCGAGCTCTCTTATCCTCCGCCTTCGCGAGACGCTCCGAGTTTGCCTTCAACCCATTCTCTTTCTTGTCATCCTCTTCAGTGAGTCTGGCTACTCTTCTCTAGAGCTATTTGACCTCTTCGCCTCTCTTTTTGAGCTCGGCCTTCTGGAAATCCACGGTGCTAAGGGTGGAGTTTTCCTCTACCAAGTATTGATTTGCCTAGAGGTTGAGCGACCTTGCCTCCGCGGCCCGATCCTCGAGGTCCTTCTTCAATTTGGCATTCTCTTCTTTTAGGTCGTGGATCCCTTTGGCATAGTCTAAGCTGACCTTCTGCTGGGCCATATGCAAAACGAGTAGGGTCTGTAAAAGAAAGACAGCAAGAGTTAACTCCCATTTTTTCGAAAATTATTAAAGCCAGAAAATCAACCAAGTTTGAAGTCCTCGATGAGGATGGATCGCCCTACTTGGCTTTGTAGTTAAATAGCAGTGGTCAATAAGTCTGTAGGCCAGGAAGCCACAAACTCCTCAAAGGTCGGAGCCAGTTGGCACTCAAACAAGGTGTACACCACCGACTGCAAGTGCTTCGGAAGTTGCCTCATGGAGTCTAACACTAGCATATCTGCCTCCGTTGGAAATGGCAACTCATCGACCTACTACTTGCCCACTCTCCTGCGAGTGACCATGATTTCCCCCTCTCTTTGGCCCGAGCCCTCGGGGATCGCTGAGACGCCCGGGGCACACCTCGAGTGAAAAGCCTGGTAAGGCTACGAACTCCCAGGCGGCACCCCAGCACCCTTTGACTCACACTCCAATTCTTTGGCCTACATTTCTCTTCTTAGTCTTTTGGCCCGCGGTTTTCTACTTGGGGGGTTGAGCAGCCGCAAGCTGAGGAGCTTCCTCATGTCGCTCTGGAGGTGTTCACCCTTCAACGCCAATTTGTATCCCTCCTGTAGGGATATCACCAAGGATTTCCTTGATTGGCTCAATCGGAGCGACCCAGGGAAACACAAACTTTCTCAGCACCTTTGGTGGCATGATCGCTGCGCACCATAAAAATGTTAGTAATATAGGTCGCCGCAAGCAACCAAAAAGTATTCTAAGTATGGGGGATACTTACGGTTTGACTTTAAGGATACTTCCAGGTTGAAAAAGTCATACTTTCTCAAATTGGCAGTGGTCACGACAAAGGTTGGGAAGATGGCCAAACGCGACGATTTGGTTGTAATCTGTTAGATTTCCCAACCTAGTCTTCTTATTCCCTGCGAAGAGACAAAAAGTTTCATTAGACACAAAAACCGAAGGTATAACAGCTCGCAAATGGAAAAGAAAGATATACTTGGCTCCCTAAACCGGCAGATGCCATCATATTCAAAAAAGAAAAACTTAGTTTCATAAACCCCGACGTTGCTGGGGTAATTGGATATCCCTCCCTCGATTGCAGATCCCTTCGAGAGGTAGAAAGAATCCTTGTCTTTGCTTTTCTTCAGATAGTAAGAGCATGCAAGCTCCAATGCCGTCAACTCGCCAAGGTCGTTTTCACCATATGCGATATACATAGCAATAGCTATCATATACGCATTGGGCGTTAACTGCATTGGTGTGACCTCGAAGTGGTTAAGAATCGACCTTACAAAGGGATGAAAAGGTATCAGCACCCCACACTTAAAGATCATCTCCGAGATCGCGGCATTTCCCTCTGGGGAATTCCGAGCCATACAGTTTCTATGCTGGTAGACATTCACGCTAAGCACGTATTGGTCCACTGCCCTTTGTATCTCTTCTCAGGTGATCACCAACAAGGTCTCTGGCACGGGACCCGCTTGGGCAGCTGGAGCCTGCGAGCTTCGTGCCTTCGGCTCCCCTGGTCGCTGAAACGTCCATTTTTCCTAAGGTCTGAAAAGGGGCAACGTAATAAAAAATAATAAAAAGTAATATGTGATAATATATAATAAAAGAAAGAAAAAAGGCTCAACCCTCGTACGATGTTTCGTACAATAACGTGGAAGGACAAGGGGAACCCTAATGTATCCTTCTAAAACCTTAGCAAAACCCTCAAAAACCTCATGGGAGTGAACCCCCAAGGATCTGTGCCCTAAATTTCTCACCTTCAAGAGAAACTAAACCCCTCTCCTCACCACTATCTGAGGACATGCACTGTGAAAGCCCACCGGACAGCCTATACTCGCCATTACCAAACAAGTCGTACAGAGTCGTCAAATGACGAAAGAGAGCAAGAGAGAAACTTTTCTTACCTCTTGACGGCGTGGGAAGAGTTTTCTGTCGTAACGAATGGTACGCATCAACTAAAGAAGGCGGGCTGACTTTTGCAAGAGCTTCATTTCTTTTTTTGAGAATGAGAGTTTGTGCCAATGAATTTGAAACAAATTCGGATTTTATAGGCAAAAAGGCGTTGATTGGGTTTCCTGAGTGGGCGACGTTTGGGCAGGACACAATCCTCGCCATTGATTACGACCACGTGTCGTTAATCCATGAGAAGAGTAACTCCCACACTTCAGAAACACCAATCAACGTTTCCCACGATTAGAATAACCAAACGACGGCTCAGTTACCCTCCTCTACATTAAATATGCCCCTATTCGCATTTAATACCCTAAAGGAGAATATCGTTTCAGCATGGTGCGCATTAAATACTCATGGCTAGCACTTATTACGTAATGGGCAAGTCTGTCAGAATCAAGAATATTTTATTGGTTAGGTGAATCGTCACGCGCAATGAATAACATCTGAAGAGGTCGTTCGAATTAGCACTCTTCACCGCGCATTGATTTCAAGGCAACGTGACCCCTCGCTTTTAATAAGAGAGGTGATAAAACTTTCTCAGGTCACAAGATAAAGTCAAGGCTTAGGACATATTGATACAACACTGATCACAACATGAGTCAGGTCACTGAACCTGCCATAAAAAAGCTACATTAGGTCGTTAAGTATAGTTCTTAGGGATCCATGCAGCTCAACCAGCTCGATCAAGCGTCATCCGAGACCGCTCAAGTCACGGCATAATCATGAAGTTCTCAAGGCTTAATCCTTAAACCTTAAAAACTGGGGGGCTTCTGTTATGCCCAAGAACCAAGGCTAGCGTAAGCATGCGTTAGCAAGAACCAATAAGAATTCAGGAAGGTTTTCTGCCGCATAGATGCAGTCACGTCCCATAAGGACAAGAGGGTAAGGCCATTGTCAGTAAGGCAGGTGAACGCCAGGCCTATGAGTGGCTGGGAAGTGTCCACCTACTGAAGCTATAAGTGATTTAAGGATACCTCTCGTGCAGGCAACCAATGGGAAACGGGTTAGGAATTGTACCACATCTGCCTGCATGCAAAATCATGATTGCCAACTTGGATCCTCCCACTATAACTAGAAGGCTCTCCTCCATTTTATATGATTGGATCATTCACCATCTAAGCTCTCTCTCTCTCTCTCTCTCTCTCTCTCCCCATTTATTTTCCCTGTTGTAATTCAGCTCGTCGAGTACGACCTAATTGTAACCCACTTTTAATATAATCACAGTGGATGTAGGATTCGCCGTAGAGCATCCGAACCACTTTAAAAATTGTTACCCGCTCTATCTCTCTTTCTGCATTTCCATATCACGTGTGATTTCTAAATCCGCTTAACACTTCACACGTGCGAATAGTTGGTGTCAAAATCAAGCATCAATAATAGATCATGTGTAAGACCCACTCGGCAAAGTATTTTGTCGAGCTGAAACATATGATGTGGAGTGAGAGCACACCACACCAATGGGAAAAGTATTTAATAGGACTATCTATGTTTCATTAGGTCCTCGATCTAATAGCTTTAGATTTTAAGGTGCATTGCCTAACTATAGAAGAAGGTGATAAAATATGAATGAAGGGCCTGCTTAAGCCACAGGCAGTAAAGTTGAAAAAGTACAATTCAATTCCCATTCAGATTTTTTATATTTGTTTATCACGCATATGGTTTCCTCCCAAAAGGCCTAGGGTTCAATTCCTTGGGCCACAGCCTTCAAAATACCTTCCCAAACGTTCTAGGGTTCCTCTAGTTCCCAGTTTCGAACTCAAGTTCGTTAGATGAGTTCGTTAATTCTAAGTTATCAATAATAATAATAATTAGTTATATCGTGTTTCTTATCAAAATAACAATAATAATAATAATTAGACCAAAAACCTTTTGTTGTAATCCATTTTCAGTTTTGTTTTTATAAAACAAATTTCAAACAGGGTACCTAACAAATTTATGTCATATAATTACATATTTCCAACATTGCTGTAAATTTAAAGACAGCCCTGGCCACCAACCAAATTTGTTTTGTAAAACTAGTTAATTGTCAGCAACATTATTGCCACGTTAGAAAGAAACCTCTAATCAACAAATCATCATTTTTTTGGTCAAATTCTGCTCCATCAAATATATTATAATTGTCACTGAGAAGTTTTCTGATTCATCACGCCAAATCCTGTGAAAGGAAATGGTTTGAAAATGATCTAGCAAAGTTGACATTCTGAATCATATGAGCATATGACTTTTATCAAAATGGCCCAAACCTTTAGTGGATTATGCCTTCCACAGTCAATCACATACACCACATCATTTATCGTTATACTTGTCTCAGCAATGTTTGTAGCAATGATAACCTGGATCATAAGTATTTGAAGATGAAATCGATAATTTCGGGAGCAAAATTAATTATTTCATAGCAACGATAACCAAGATCATAAGGATATAGGTGTTAAATAACATCATTTATCATAGTTTTTTGTAAAAGTATAACGAGTCTTACATTTAGTGGAAAATGTCGAAAATTCAGTATTAAGAAAAAAAAAAAAAAAAAAAAAAAAATCTGCAGTCTTTATTTCCTTAAAGCAGACTAGCACAATATTATCCCCAAAAAATAAAACATAAGAAGTTTGTTGCAAACAGAGAATCACTGAAGAATAGTATATATCATTATCGTTAACCACAAGAGTAAAATAAAGCAAAATCTACCTTCCATATGTTATCAGGAGGTCGTAAGAACACCTTTTTTTGATCAGTTGATGCTATAGATGAATGTCAAGGATCTGAAGATGGTCCACCAAATCGATAAGAAGCCACTAACCTATCAAATAAAATGTAGATTTCTGACACTCCCTGTTTACATCAAAATAACAGTTTTGATATAGAGACAAAACGGGCCCATGAATGAATGATCAATTTGAAAGGATTACTGAAAGGAGTTACAGGTAAAAATGAGTATGGCATCCTCACTACATGTTTCATCAACATGACATACCAAGTCTTCAAGAAGATCATAGTCTATAACATCTTCATTCAACCTTTTCTGAGCAAAAGACCATATAGTTTCATTTTACAGATGCAGAAAAGTAAAAAGAAAGAAAATAGTACCATAACTAGAGCTAAATTAGCATCAAAAGGTAAATACCAAATTCTGCTGTGTTTGTTCGCCAAAAGATTGATAACTACTTGGAATATAATAGGAGTTAATATACTCTTCTGAGAGCATAGAATCATCACCCCATGCAGATAAGACAAGATTCTTCTTCCCCCTGTGGTTGTTCACAGGACCACTTTGCAGCTATCAAAATTGAAAGAATTCGTTACCTAGAGGGTGATTTTAAAACTCTTACAGACACAAAACCATGACAATAATTAAAGGAAGAAAATTCAGCATGCCAGTCCATAAAAGTTAATTGATTTACCAAGAATCTTAATTTGATGAAATATATTAAGAAAAAAAGGTTTTCCTTTAAAGCAATCACTTGGTGATCACCACTTTGACATGGCTAAGTCATTTTATGAGGACACATCACACCAACAAAACTATAGTTGATTTTATATCTTCACAAAGAAGCCTCAACCAGGCATCAACATGTACTAGTAAAGGTAATTATAATCAAAAACAAAATACCATTTCTTTTGTAGATGTTTCATATCTTATAGAAGCTGGGGAATCTGAAGCAAGGCGATAATTGATACTCTCATATATGTCCTCAAGAAAGTATGTTGTCACTGGATGTGTTCGGCCTTGTGCAGTAATTACAGGGCAGTGTCCAAAGCATCTTGAAAACAATTCTGAATCAACTGTGGCAGACCTGAAAATTAAGAAAAGTTCTTCAGTTTATGTGAAAGAATCAAAACAAAGTTAACTGTAAACAACATACAAACACAATATGCCTTAGTTAATACTGCAATCTACAACAAAACAGAAATACGCATAACCTTCAGTTTTGATAAGCCATCAGCGGACTGTTTCTCAAGCAGGTCCTTAAATACAATTGAGTAGAAAATCACCCTGTAAGAAGAAACTGGTCAATCTATTTTCCGTTTTCTGAAAAGAAACTGGTCGATTTTGATTCCTAAGTTTCACAAAGTGGTATCAATGCAAAATTTGTTTATCCTTGACAACCTCTGGGAAAAAAGATCACATGTAAGAACAGGCTCTTCTCAGACAAAACACAAATGACAGCCCAGTAATAAAGAGAGAGCTATGTATTGGCTTGATTTTGGTAGTGTTCACTCCAAGAAGATATAAAGACAACAGGAAATTAAGATACAACAATCAAGAGTCCTCCAATTAAGGTAGACCATCCCGTTAATACGGAAAACTGGGATCTTTTTCCTTTCTAACGCCAAATTACGAAACATCTTACTTGAATAATTATATCAATATGTTGAACTAACATTCTCTTAGAAGTCAGAGTTTGAGACCTGTGTGCCATTTTTAAACTATCAAGGATAAGGTTTCCCATGCTCAGATAATTTACTTGAATATAGGTCTTTGCTTTTTCCAATAGTTGTCAACATCAGTGTTGGTGGGAATATACAAGACAGACACCTTTGAAGCATCACCCCAGCTCATTCCATATCATCTTTATCCATGCAAAGTAATAAGCCTCCAAATGCTTAATATAAAATGGATGATTCTCCTTTGCAAAAACAAAACACAGGAAAATCCTTGAATTTGGTAATTATGGTCATTCTATAATCAATAGAGGTGGAGAGATGTCTTGGACTGCCAATTAAATTTGTCAAATAATCATGAAGATATTCCTAAGAAACACCATAAATTTTGCCTTACTCACCAAAAGAGATCGTTCATGCACTTCATCAACTATGACATGAGTAATGCCAGCTAAATTTCTATCCCCCTGCAAATTGAAAAGAACCATCATAAGCTAAATAGACCACATAGAGATCACGCAAGCAAAAAAAAAAAACTGGTATAAGCAAAATAAAAAATAATTTAACCTGTTCCAAAAATAACTCACAGAGAGACAATAAATTCATTCCCCAAGGAGCTTCCTCTTATCTCAACTTACCTAAATGTTATATTATTAAATATCATGATTATAATTTTTAAATCATTTGTTTTATAAGACACAAAAAGATCTGTAGAATCCTTTATGCAACAAACACTCTACAATCCAAATGTATGAATCTGTGACAGACTATTTGCTATAGACAAAAGCCTTAGCCAATGTCTTCACCGGTGAATACAAATCTGATTGTTTAGTCTATAATTGTACAACAGAGAGACGGGCTGAGAGATACTAAGGCACTAGATCAAATGGAATAAGTACTACAAGTGTTGTTAAGCTCCTTAGGAATTATTAATGACAAGCAACTTACTGAAATAATCTTACACCATACTAATGAAAATAAACCATAATTAAGGCATTTCGTTAAGTAAACTCAATTCAACTATGGGACATACCACAATTTTCCGCAGAAGAATACCTGTTGTACAAAACAGAAGTTTTGTCCTTTCATTCCTGAAAAGAAACAATGCAAGCAAAATGAAGTTCAAAAGTTAAAAGGAAACGAGAATAATATTCTACGAAAAGTGGGAATATATTCTCCTAGAGACAATAAAGGCACAAAACCATGGATACAAATATTATCCAATAAACGTCAAATACAAAACTGGGGATAAAACTAAAACTTAAAAGTAGAAGTTGGAAAGTAACATAAGCAATGAGATAAAGAAGAATTTTTAAGTCATACCGGAAAAAGAAAAGGAGATCATAAGATAGATCAAAAAAATATATATACAGCAGCTTTAAGGAATAGTCCAACAATTCAAGAAAATCCCCAAAAAAATCCTCCAATTCACAATGGTTATAAAGTTCAATGGAATGTAAAGGACACATAAAAGAGTGGATTAATTAAAGGCAGAAAACAAAAGTCATCAATTGATTTCAAAGCTCCTTAAAAATCGAAGCTTAATGTTCAGCAATTATCAGTTCACTCCACAACCATCATGCTCATTACAAGATCGCACAAATAGCAGCTTATAAATAAGCTTTTACCATAATAATTGACAACCATGCGCCCACAGCATGTTTCTTCTAACCTTGGTCAAAGCTCATTTTGATTTTCATCATACAATGTTTATATTCATATACTTTACGACTCCACAAAAACCCTTCATAATTCCTGCAATCTCATTAGAAAAGAAGCAAATGCAATCCTGAAGAATCACCTTCCTCCTATAACCTCTTACCTCTTACACCTTATTGATAACTAGATCTCACACTGCTACATAAAAACAGACCACATATTTTAAACTATGAACACTACATCCAAATATTGAATATATCAGCAGATATCAAGCTAAAAGCACAAGACCATAATCTCATCAAAATGCAGAGAAACAATGAATGCAACTTAAACATTATATGTGGTGATCTGATGCCATTAGCAGATTCACAAAATTAATAAGAAAAGGATGCCAACATATACCTTGCACTATCAAGATGAACATGATAACCAACCAAAGAACCATCTGAACCTGGAGAAGATTCACAGCGCTCATCAGCAACTCTTTCAGCCACAGAAATAGCCTAAATACAAGGCAGCAAAAATGTACGACATAAGTCGAATGTTTCCAGGATATTTTACAATAAAGCACCAGTAAGACTAAAATTCATTGATAAACAGGAGATACGTATCTCTTGGCCTTTCATCAATAAGTAATATCACGCACAATATAGGCAATAACAACCGCACAGTAAGTAGGAGAAAGATCATCAGAACATATTTATTAGAATGAAATTTTGAAAGTGAGATAGCTAATTGAACAACCAAAGAAAGTGAGTAAAAGCCCCACAGTCCAAATCCTCTATCACAAAATTACCATAAAACTATTAACATCTCTGAAGTGTCCTAAAATGTAATTGTCCACCCCCCTAACCAAAAGCTGGATTCTGAGCAGATCATGCTTATCTACAGGGGGCAAAGAACAAGTAAAATATTGGCTAAACAGTCCTCAACCAATGTTGCTCAAATAAAATAACCCATTCCAAAAGGTATGGAACAATGATCTTCTAGGGATAAATGCTAATAGAGCATGAACTAAATACATGATTTTCTATTAATAGAAACAGAAGTTACAATAAATTTGACAAGCAGTCCAATAATAGAAACTCAATAGAAAGCAATAACTAATATTAATTAAAAATTAAAAAAGAATGGAACATTGTCAAATTTGCTAGAAAGTGAAGCCCATAATGAACTAAGATTCTGTTCCTTATTCCACATAACATGAACATATTAATTAGAAAGATTAGTCATGTATTATTGTATAATGTAACCAAGAAAGATTAGAAAATAATACTTTAATCTGAAAAATAATGTACCCACCGCTATTCTTCTTGGTTGTGTGCATATAATGTTGCAGTTTCCACCACATCCTGACTCAGTCATATCATCCAATATAAATTGTGGAACCTACATTAAAAGGCCAGTTAGAAAGCAGGCTGTAGTGTTGTTCTTGGAAGGTAGGAGAAGACAAGTGACCAAAAAATAAAAATAAAAATGGCCATGATAAAGTCTAGAGGCCAAAGTATATCAAAAAAAACTCATAAAAGACAGACTAAATATAAATTTGACCTGAGTAGTCTTTCCAGATCCTGTTTCTCCACATACGACAAGGACATTATTCTCCTTCATTCAGCAGTTGCAATATATCACCTTTCAGCACAGCAATTGGAAGAGCATCTCTGGTTTTCAACATATCCTGAAAGGGAAAACATGTATATATGTAATAACCAAACAGAGAGATGCCCGACTGCAACCATATTGAAAATGCATGAATAGAACCAGAATATTTATGGTCCAAGAATGAAAACGCATGAACAGAAACCAAGAAATTTATAGTGGCCAGATGAAGTGTACATGCATAATGATGCAGGTAGGAAACTGAAATTTTATGACTATCATGCAAGCAAGGGTAATTTAATATTTGAAAATTTCAGAAAGAAAATGCCAGCTTCAATTTGAGGTTATGAAACAAACTACTTTGGCTACACCCAATAGATTCTGGCACAAAATATTGCGACACACTGTTATTCAGCAATATAAACAGAGTAGTGAATAAATAAATACTACTCTTTTGTGCCAGCAAGAACAAATTGTCCCATACAGAAGAACAAAGGAAAATACTTGACAACAATTTTCACAAGTAGCCAAAATAAGCTTGTGAAAGTTAAAATGCTCAAAATAGGCTCTTGATAACGTTAATACACAATGTCAATAATAAAAATAAGAATCATCCAAACAGAACAGGTATGCCATTTATAAACCAGACAAGCTAATATGTATAAGGAAAAAGAAAAAGCTTTTGGGGGGTGGCAGGAAATTTAAACATAAAAGCCAAAGGAACCTTTTATACAGCCAAAAGCTCGCCTGACTTGGAGAAATTTTCTTTCCAAGGAGAATTAAGAAAGATATACAAACCTTGTATTTCTGCATTTTCCTTTTCTTTTCTTGTTCCTGTTTCAGGTGAGAACTTTCGGATACTTTCAGATTTTTCACTCCTGCAGATTGGCATTATAAAAATTAGAGAACAGACCACACCAATATTAAAAGTAACATATTTAATCTAGTAAGAAAATAAATCACGATGCTCTTGTCAGAATTAAATTCAACTATTTCTAGAATACACTATTTCATATTTCTCTAAGCGGAGGAAGAATTCTTGCTCCGAATCTCCCACTTAATGTCAGCAAAACTTCATGAAAAAATACCAGTTCAAACTTAGTCAGCTCTTTTTTATAGGTTTCTCTTGTTTATTGGTAATAGAACAGTTTCAATATGAAACAAGAAGGATACCCAGTAGGTAGTAGAAGGGAAAAATAATAATAGTATTCAACAGTAAAGATGCAGAAGAAAAAAAATCTCATAGAAATTAGTTGCCATATCAACAACAATTAAACTACATCATTTGCATTGAATGCAACAAGAGAAATGTGTTAAGGTTTCTTTAGTGTCGTATGGATGTGAACTTATTGAGCCAGAACCTGCAATTTTATTATTACTGGAGTGCCAATTAGGGTTTGTACTATGTACCTGTAAATGAAAAAAAAAAAAAAATTCTTGGAGGTTAAACCAACTTCTCTTTTTTCTTGTATTTCTTCTCTCCAATCTTCTTTTACTCTATTGTGTTATTATTTTAAAAATTTTAACAGAAGGAAAGGACATACTTCCAGCAACTGGATCGGCTTCTGCAACTCTCAAATTTTTTATTTTCTTGAACATTGGACCTCTGAAATGAATCTGAAACCAAACTGTCAGGAACTTTGAGAACAGCATTGGAACTAGAACCATCTTCACTCAGCAATTTATCCACAAAATCAGCCCTTCGATCTTCCTCACTGTCTCCAATTTTAGTTAATGATTCCCCTGTTAGCACCCAAAAAATTTAGCAATTCTTAGATACTACAACAACATGGCTTTTCAAAATGCTTACTACAGCATTTCAAACTAATAAGCATTTTGATATCAACAGGAGGATTAAAGGATCACCTTCTATCCACTGCAAAACAAGCAAAGCATAAGGCTCAGCAATTGCTAGGTCAATTTTATTTTATTTTAATTTTTTTTTTAATGGAGCCCCCAACAAACCCTGCCATCATTGAGATAAACATGGCTTTACTGGCCATGCAAGTGCCCATGAGTGGGCTCGAATCTCAGACCTTGTTGGAGCAAACCACAGACCTGACCATCGGGCTAATCCCTCATGGGTAACAGAAAAGAGCAATCCAAAGCAACCTTTGCACAAGCCAAGGGAGGACTAAAACCTTTGAAGGATATTAACAAGAAAATGTTTATTCTGGGATAGACCAGCCTTACAGTCAAACCAATGTGAACTCCATCTAAATAAATGCAAATTTCACCAGGCCCACCATTTTCCTACATCTCCTCTTCAGGTTACTATACACATAGATCAAGTTGGTTGGAGATTAGGAGCTATACTGCCCATGTTATGCAACAAAATAACATTTCATTTTGAATATAAATAAAAAAAATATTCAAGTGTACAGACCAGTAACTTCCAGCATTTAATAAGTTGATATATGGCATGGAGAACAAGGATAGAGACCTGAACTTCCCCTGTTACGCTTCACTCACAGACACCTCCCAGATTATTTCAATTCTACTGGATATCAACCCAGAAGTTTCAGTCAACCAATTCTAATCAAAACACTACTCTCAATGGAACACAACAATGCTGGACAGATTTGATAATTATATTCAATGACAGTTCAAAGTAAATTCTATTCGAATAAAAATTCTCTTACAACTAAAATAAGGCATCAATCAATTAAATCAGAAACCAGCTCATCTAGAATGAGTCTGCATACAATTAGAACCCACTGGATTTCGAGAGCTAGCATCTCCCCAATTCCCTTCCCTTTACAAAATTCCCTCCCCCACAGATCCTTCCCGCTACCTTTTATTCTTCGTGCTCTATTATTGTAACTGAATTCAGCTCCCCAACCACTCAGCATTTGCCGCTTGTCACTTTCCCATAAAACCAAAAGCACCCTCCATCACGCTCAAGGCCTGACCTGAGTCTCTCAATCCTCTATTTGCGCCCTTATTGTTCCTCCTATATACCAAAGTGTTGTTAGTCTCATCATTACAACCACTCCCAAACAAGGAGAGCCACCTTGTCCTCAAGGTGAAAGGATGAAAACTACAGTTGGATGGTGGAGAACTCTTCCCAAGTACTTTCAAAATCTGGTAGGCCTTTCCATTTAATTAAAACTTCCCAAGTCCCATTCAGTAGCTTTCTTTTCTTTAGTATAGCTTCTGGTGACATTGCTAAAATCAAGTCTTCATCCAGGCCAGTTGGAAGGGGTTGGACATTCGAGGGTGGAGAAGTAGTCTTCCTAAGTTGGGACACATGAAAGACGACGTGAATCTGGGCTGTGGATGGTAGCTGCAGTCGGTAAGCGACTGATCCAATTTTTTCCGTAATCACAAAAGGCCCATAGAACTGTGGACTCAACTTCTCATTGCAACGATAGGCCAAGGAGCGAAGGCAGTAAGGCTGTAACTTGAGCAAAACTGAATCTCCCACTTCAAAGTTGACTTCTCTCCGTTTGTTGTCCGCAAACTGCTTCATCCGATTTTGAGCTTTGACCAAATTATCTTTTAGTTCTTGAAGGATATTGTTGCGGTCATGCAGTTGTCGGTTGACTTCTTCAACATGGCAGGGACGTTCAGAATGTTTCAGGATGACTGGAGGGTCTCGACCGTACAGTGCCTTAAAGAGTGTCATGCCAATTGAGCTGCTAAACATAGTATTAAACCAAAATTCTGCCCATGGAATCCATTTGGGTCACTGTCGGGGTTGAGCACTAACAAAGCAACAGAGATATGTTTCCAAACAGCGGTTTACTACTTCCGATTGACCGTCTGTTTGTGGGTGATAGGCTGAACTCATATGGAGTTGGGTTCCAGACTGCTTGAACATCTCACCCCAAAAATGACTAATGAACACCCGGTCGCGATCCGAGACGATAGAACACAGGAACCCATGTAGCCGGACAACCTCTTTAATGAATAAACTTGCAACATCTCGAGCTGTATATGGGTGCTTTAGGGTGAGAAAGTGGCTATACTTGGTTAAACGGTCTACCACCACCAAAATGGTATCAACTTGAAAAGCCCTTGGTATGCCCGTGATGAAATCCTTCGAAATGTCTTCCCACACCTAATTTGGAATAGGTAACGGTTGCAACAGCCCAGCCGGACTCAGAGCTTGATATTTACTCCTTTGGCAAACCTCACATGCCTCATTAAAGGTGCGTATATCTTTTTTCATACCCTCCCAATACACTACATTGGCCAAGCGTTTGTAAGTGCGAAAAAAACCTGAATGACCACCCATGGGAGACGAATGAAACTCTTGTAATAACATCTGAATATGCACCCCCGTGCGTGGCACAACCAACCTGTCATGGTACATCAATTGGTTCCCCACCAGTATATAGGGCAATCGGCTAGACGGGTGAATAAGCAGTTCTTGCACTATTTTCCTCAACTTGGCATCCTGGTGGACCACATTTTCCAAGTCTTCTCTACTTGTAAAACAACTCATGGATAAATCATTAAGTTCCCCAACCTCAATTCTTCTAGAAAGTGCGTCAGCTACTTTATTCTCTTGACCAGGTTTGTATTGAATCTCAAAGCGAAGCCCCATCAATTTCATCACCCATTTTTGCTGATCCTCACTCAACAATCTCTGATCATTTAAGAAGTGTGAACTCTTCTGATCTATTTTTATCACGAAATGTCTGCCCAATAAATAGTGTTGCCACTTCTGGATTGCCATGACCATAGCCATAAGCTCCCTCTCATAGACCGACTTAAGTCGGGACTGTAACGATAACCCTTTACTCAAAAACGCCAAGGGTCTATTTTCTTGCATGAGAACAGCCCCCAACCCATGGCCAGACGCATTTGTCTCAATCACGAATTCCTTAGAAAAATCGGGCATAGCTAAAACTGGTACTGAAGTCATAACCTGCTTCAATTCTTCGAAGGCCCTCTGGCGTCACTGTTCCATTTGAATGCATCTTTCTTTAATAGTGCAGTTAGAGGAAGTACAATCTTGCCATAACCACTGACAAATCTCCGATAATACCCTATCAAGCCTAGAAATCCCCGGAGAGCTCTTTAATTTTTTGGAACTGGCCACTGAAGAATGCTATCAATTTTGGAAGAGTCAACTGCTACTCCGGCCGACGAAATGATGTGTCTTAAATACTCTGAGTTCTCGCTACCCAAAGAAACATTTTTTGTGGTTGGCGACTAACTTGTTCTCGTACAGTGTCTGCAAGGTGATTGTTAAGTGTCACACGTGCTCTTCCATATTCGCAATGTATACTAGAATATCATCAAAAAAACACCAGAATAAACTTCCGCAAGTACGGTTGAAAAATGTCATTCATTGGAGCTTGGAAGGTTGCCGGTGCATTGGTTAAACCGAAGGGTATAACTAGGAATTCATAATGGCCTTCATGGGTCCGGAAGGCGGTCTTCGAGGTATCTTCTCCTCTCATTCTGATTTGGTGGTACCCTGACATCAAATCTAATTTGGAGAAGATTGTAGCCCCCCCAATTCGTCATATAACTCATCCACTACTGGAATTGGAAATATTAACATTGGACTAGAGAATGGACTTACACTCGGTTTGATAATGCCGGAAGCTAACATTTCTGTGACAATTCTCTCAATCTCATTTTTTTGGTAGTAGGGATAGCGGTAAGGTCGGATGTTTGGTGGTTGTGCGTTGGGTAAGAGCCGAATGGTGTGTTCATGGTTCCTAATGGGAGGTAAGCCTGTTAAAGGTTTAAAAACCCCTTGGAACTGCTCCAAAACTTCCCTCAATCGACTGTCCACGTCGTCCCCATTTACTGGCTGTTTTTGCAAAGATCCGAATTCCACTAAATAGCCCTGCCCCTCCTTCTGAATTGTCTTCAACATTGCCTTTAGAGAGACCAACGTCTTGCTCAGAGCTGGATCCCCACAGAGTGTCACCGTCTTACCTTTCTCCTTGAATCGCATTACCTGGTTCTTCCAATCTATCGTGGTTTCTCCCACGTTTCTAACCAGGCCATTCCTAACACCACATCCGAACTGTTCATGTCAAATGGGAAGAAATCCAACATTGCAGTAACTCCCTGAAGATCAATATAGACTCCTCGGCATTCACCTTTCAGTTCTCACCCGGTAACCATCCCCTACCCTCACTCCAAACAACTGTGTTCCAGTAACAGGAATTTTTAATTTCTCCACTATTCCTCTACTAATAAAATTATGAGACGCCCCACTATCAATCAAAACAATTAGCTTTGTATCCCGAATCTTCTCCTTTAATTTCATGGTTCTTGGCCCATTGATTCCCACGACAGAACTGAGTGACAACTCCACATCCTCCTGGTTAGCTTCCTCGTTCATGTCTTCCCCTTTAACAAGCTGGGTTTCTTCCACAAGGATGAATTGAAATTGTCTGTCTCCACAACAATGACTAGGAAAAAATTTTGCATCACACCTAAAGCATAAGCCTCTCTCTCTTTTCTTCTGGATCTCATTCTCAGTCATGTGTTTAAAGGGAAATTCTCTGCGATTAGGAAGACTCTGCTCTATGGGTTGATTAACGGTGGAGCTGCTGCTTTGTTGGCTGTTGTTTGGGCTGGTATTTGGAGTTGGAAATCGTCGTTGCCGGTTATGGATGTTATTAGATCTGGGTATATTTGTGAAAGAAGGCTGGAAGTTATTAGATTTGAATCCTTGGCTATTGGACCCTATCTGACGACCTGACCCCACTCCAAAAGAGTTTTGACATTTATTTGCAACACTAATCCCACCAAAACGTGGCACTCTATTCATTCCATTTTTAATTTCCTCTAAGGCCCAATTTTTGTCTTCAATCCTTTGGGCTAAGTCAATTAATTGGATCAATGTTTTAGGCCTCCTCAATCTTACTTCAGCTTTAATCTTTGGCTTAAGCCCATTCATGAATGCAGCCAACAAAACATCTTCCCTAACCTCACGAAGGGGGGCAGATGTTGCTTCAAATTTTTTCCGATACTCCTCTGCAGTTCCTGTTTGTTTAATCGCCATTAACGCTTTGTAAGGTCCTTCCTCTTGAGACCCACTAAACCTATGGATAAAGGCAAGTTTGAAAGTGGCCCACGACGTCACAAGAGCTCTAATTTCCATCCATTGAAACCAATTCACAGCATCACCTTCCATGCAAACCGCAACCGTGTTTAATCTATCCTCATCCTCCGTGATTCTGTACACGCCGAAGTATCTCTCGATTCTGAAAAACCACCCATATGGATCATCTCCTATAAAGATTGGTATATCCAGTTTTCGGCCACCATACTCCGATCTTCCTCGCTCACAATTGTTGTGATTGTCATTTGCCTCCCCCTGGTTTTGGTCGTTTTCCTCATTAACTCCAGCTGATCCACTTCCTTCTCCCTTTCCAGCTTCTTCTTCATCTTTTCGTCTCATCCATGGCTGCGTCTCCACCAAACACTCTCTAATCGTACCCAGTTCACTTTCAATCTTATCAACACTGTTCTCCATTCTCGTACCAACCATAACCTTGCTCTGATACCACTTTTGATAGAGACCTTAACTTCCCTTGTCACGCTTCACTCACAAACACCTCCCAGATTATTTCAATTCTACTAGATATCAACCCAGAAGTTTCAGTCAACCCATTCTAATCAAAACACTACTCTCAATGGAACACAACAATGCTGGACAGATTTGATAATTATATTCAATGACAGTTCAAAGTAAATTCTATTCGAATAAAAATTCTTTTACAACTAAAATAAAGCATCAATCAATTAAATCAGAAACCAGCTCATCCAGAATGAGTCTACATACAATAAGAACCCACTGGACTTCAAGAGCCGGCATCTCCCCAATTCCCTTCCCTTTACAAAATTCCCTCCCCCACAGATCCTTCCCGCTGCCTTTTATTCTTCGTGCTCCATTGTTGTAACTGAATTCAGCTCCCCAACCACGCAGCATTTGCCATTTGTCACTTTCCCATAAACCCAAAAGCACCCTCCATCATGCTCATAGAGATGGCAATGGGCCCGACATTTTCGGGTACCCAGCCCGGCCCGGCCTGGCCCGACCAGACCTTTCGGGTCGGGCTTTACCCGAGGTTGGCGGGCTTGGGCTTGGGCCTGGGCTTGATTTTAAGGCCCGTACCTGAGCATGGGTATATCTTTAGGCCCGACCCGTCCCCAAAATTTTTAGTATTAGTTTTACTAATTTACCCTTATACTATATATTTAATTACAATATTGTCGTACATATATATATCCATTTTTTTCAAACCCTAACCTCGATCTCATATTGAACGTTTAACATGTTAAAATTGTCTTTAAATGAGTTAGATGGATTTGGTTCAACTTATAAAAGTGGATTTTACCATAACATATTATGCACAGCTAAAAAGTTAATATAATCAAATATTATGGAGTTTTAATTGCTCACTTATTGCTTAAATTATTTGCGGAAATAGCTTCAATTAATATTTAAAAACTATTTCTAAAATTAAAAATATAAAAAAAATTTGAAATTTATTAATATTTAAAAATAAACATTATTAAAAAAGGCGGGCTTGGGCCAGGCCTGCGGTTATAAAAAACCCGTCAAGTCGGGCTTGGGCTTTGCCTATCATACCCGTAACGGGCTCGGGCCGGGCTTGGGCCTGTGTCATGAGGTCGGGCTTGGGCCTGGGCCAAGGGGTACCCGGCCCTGCCCGGCCCATTGCCATCACTACATGCTCAAAGCCTGACCTGAGTCTCTCAATCCTCTGTTTGCGCCCTTATTTTTCCTTCTATATACCAAAGTGTTGTTAGTCTCATCAGATCACAAAATCCATTTGTGCTGAAAATTATTGAGGAATATGATTAGTCTTACACCTCAGTTTCAAAATGCCAAAACAATATACTAGTATATAGCTATTATCTATTCCAGTGGGATCCAATGTCCATATCACCAGATGAATCAACACCTACAAAAAGAAAACTTAGCATCTGGCGCTCTGGACACACTGAATATGAAAAAAAGCTCTTACTTTATCTGGTTAATTCAAGGAAAAGCATTTATATCTTAAGAAGGGGTACCAGGCTAATTTTGTATATTTTGTTGTCTCTTGCTAAAGAAGAAAAGGTGTTCCTAGATATTATAAAAGTATATTCTGAATATCTGTTTCAATGTGACACTCAATGCCATATTTAGTCAAGGGTAGAATGTGACTTCAATCTCAAGATATACCAAAGAGGTAGAAAAATCAGGATGAACATTAAGTTCTATTTCATTCAAATGCAATTAAATAAGAAAATTTCCAACCTACTGTATTTAGATTTCAGAAATTTGAAAAAATTAAAAGGGGAAAAAGAAAACAATACCCTCCTAGCTAAAAATCTCTAGAATTTGATCACCTTCCAATTCATTTCTTTATCTCTTGTCCTATGCATGTTATCAGCATAAATTTATTTGTGTATGTGGAGGAGTATGATATATAAATACCTCAGCAAGGTTTCATCCAGGTTGGGAAGCTGAAGATTGATTAACCCACCAGCTTTTCTGCTCTTGCCCCTGCCACTAGCTTTACGTAATACAATAACAGAATAACAGAAACTATTTTCTTTCCCAACTAGTTTATTAAATTTTGGTGCTTCTCACCCTAATCTTTGGCATAACTGATGAAGAACAGCTTTTGGAATCTTTTGTGGCTCCCCGTCATCATTAGCCCATATCACCAAAATAGAAGAACAAACAGATACCTTTCGACAAATGCCACTAGAGTCAAATATTAAATTGCATGTATAGGTCCATCAAAATTAATTCCAAGATCATATATATCTATATATGAAAACTAATTGCAAGTAATAAACAAAACTATATTGCATCAGATATTGTATATTCAGAATCATCCATGACCAAATTAGATTGCATAATGGCAAACATCACAAATATTCTCAATGAAAAATGTGAAAATAGAATTTAGAATAGAAGATTTAGCTATGCATCAGCTAACACATAAACATTCTGCAGTAACAAAACTAGCCTTAAAAATTGTTCCATATCACACATTACCTTCTTCCAGATGCCATCTAATTTCTCTATATTCTTGTCACTACATAACATTCTCATCTTTTCTTTCTTCTGTAATTTCATAATTTCAGTAGGTAATGCTTCACTGGATGGAGCATCTTCTGAAAAGAATCCACCAAGCTCCACATCCCCTGACTCATTATCCTCTGCTTTCTCCTGAACAGATACTCCAGAGGGAATAGGTTTGAGTGGAAACTCCTTGTTTCCACAAACTATTGATTAATCTGTATGCTCAACAAAATCTGAACCACCATATATTTCATCTGATGTTACAACCTCAGGGTCATCATAAGGCATGGATCTAGAAACTGTATTGCTGAAGCATAAGCAGAAGCACGTTCAAGCTCAAAATCTGATGCCAAGGCATTATCTAACAATCCTGCTCAATAATTCCAAACAGCTCAAACCAAAAGGTGATAAGTAACCATATTTAAACATAGATCAGGAAAGAAATTAGATTTAACCTAAAGCAGACAACTCTTGCTTGAGTTTGCGGATCATATCTCCTGCTTGTTCCTGGCTTTTCTTGTCCCGTTTTTCTTTAGCTTTTGTAGCTTCCAAACGAGCCTCAAGGTACTCTCTAGCAATAACATCATATGACCTAGGTTTAGAGACCTATTAATACAAAAAAGATGAATCAAATACTGAAAGGAAACCTGTTTCAGAATCAAAGGAACAGAATAACCTTGTAAATTACTGAACCACCTAATAACAGAAATTGTAGAACACCCAGGTTAACCTGGTTCTAGTAACACATTAACATTAAACCCAAAAGCTTAAGTTGCTAGGTAAAGGCCCAACAAGAGTAAGCTCTTAACAATACCCATGTGAGCTATTTTCATTTCTACTCAATGTGTGTTTGTTTTTCTGTGTTAGAGTGCAGAACTAGTTCCAATTGGGTGCACATAACAATTTCATTTTTGTTTCAATCAAAACATCATCCAGTATGATACCAAGAATCACAAGAGCATACCTCCTTGATGGAACTCTTGTCAATTGCATAATCTTCCCAACTTTCATACTCTTCTTGCAATCACTGAAACTAACATTAACTCTTTAAAAAAATTCAATATTTTTCTTCTGGTTAAAGAACATACTTTTACAAAAGCCTAACTCATATCCACAAGCCTTAAACTCATTATCAATGAGTAAAAAATGGAAACATATTGTTCAAATTTTTTCACATCAAAACAAAGTAAACACAGATATATCAAACAAGAAGTGATTCTTTCTCTAGATTAACTATCAAGCTTCCAATTTTCAACCATCTTTTTTACAGAATTTGATTATTATACTAGAGAAGAGACATCTACAAGAGGAAGTGAGCCAGAGGTTCACACTAGTAAATCATGGTATGAGTCTCTGAAAAAAAATCATTGGAAACAGGTGGTACGAAATAAGTGTATAGAAAAAGAAAGTCATTTGCTCGCTACCACACAGTTATAATTGATGGGAAACAAATGTGTTTATCATATCCATTGAACTAGAAGCCCGCAAGGATGCTTTGTCCCATAACAATTCAAATTATTCTTTTCCAGAATCCTGAAATACTCTTCTATTTCTTTCAACCATTAACCCATAAAACAGCTGATACACTTCAGTTCAATCAAACAGAAGTTTTCGACAACCTTTTGATAAGCAAAGACACTTAAGAATTTTGGGAAACCGAAGTCAATATAGCAGTTAAGCTTACTCCAGAAATTTAATGTCACAGGACAAAGAAGAAATAAATTATCGATGCTTTCCAAAGATTTTCTTGCACATTTGCATCAAAACAGAGACAACTGATATAGAAGAGAAGAATTAATATAGAATCCTCCCAAATCTCAAGCCTATCTAACTTTCCAACCTCAACCATGAGGTCTGAAGAAATCATCATACCCTCAAGAAATGAGCATTTGAGGACTCTAATTGATTCTCTAAATGCAACCTTTGAGTCCTGCCTGTCAAATTTAATTTTATGTTTTGCTTTTAATGATGACATACCAAAAAGAGGGACCTTTTAAAGGAATCACCACAGTCAAAGGAGAATCTTGAACTTGCAGTGAGATATCCAATCTTGAGACCTCCTTTGTCTTAAGACCTTTAGACCACATTTCACTTCACTTTGTGACACTTCTTTCCCTCTAAAAACTTCCAAAAGAAACCCATAGTCTTATGAACTTTAATTTGGAAAAGAGATGAGAGTATGTGGGCAAACCAGACAACACCAAGTATACCCAAGTCAATCTACCCCTTTTTGAGAGAACAACCTTCTTCAAATCCTTCAATCTTCTCTCTATTCTTTTCACAACAGGGTTTCAAGACGCTTAAGCTCTTTAATTTCCAAAGAACAGAAAACCCAAGAATTTTAACAGAAACTTACCAACTTTAACACCAGTAGAATTTGCCAATTAAATCAATTTATGTTCAAGGGAATTAATTCCAACAGTTACACCTTCAGACAAATTAATTTTCAATCCCAAAATCAAATATAAGGTTTCTACCACTATTATTAGGTTGGAGAACTTGTCCTAGTTCTCAAAAGAGAAGAAGACTGTGATTTCCATAAATAAGAGATAGGAGACCTCAAAATTATCCTTACCAACCTTGAAACCTTCCATATAATTGAGCTCCTCAGCCTTGTCAACTAGCCTACCCAAGGTGTCAACTATAATGATAAACAAGAAAGGTGAAAGTGGGTTACCTTGCCTTATGCCGCTAGAGGCACAAAATTTGCCTCATAAACTCCCATTTCAACAAAAAAACTCTAAAAATTATCATATCCATTTCAAGGGAAATAAAAACAACAGGAGATACTCAATTATATGAATTCAATCATAAACATATTAAATATAGGGTGAGTCGATTATTTTCAAGAGCCAGTCATCTCTACTCATGAAAAATCATAATTTATAACCATCCACGAACCTCTTCTTGTTGTTCCATATATTGTCGGATCCAATCTGCTTGAGATGGTTGGCGTGAATCTAGAGCATCATAACCTTGATGCCCCTTGGTCCTAACTGAAATTTTTTGCACTTCCTCATCAGTATTTGCTGATGAACCATCAGATGGAATCCAATCCCGTACAACCGATATGACAGAAACAGAAGCTCCTAACACGTGATAACAAGAGCATTAGCATCATTATCAAATATCGGTCATTCTGTAATACAAGGTACCAGTACATGAAGGTATGAACCATTAGTGATCTTCATCCAAGGATCAAAAACGTTCCTAGCATCAATACCTCGTACTACAGTAGAAACTTCTAGAAATATGCCATGGGTTTACACTTAATTTCTATACACTCAAAATATAACACCATAATATACAGTACATATAAATTACCTCCATTCAAGTGCTGAGAAGTCCCAGTAGAAAATTTTAAAGGAAGTTCATTGCCCGGCAAATTTAAGCATAACCAATCAAGAGCAGCCTCAAAAGTAGCATCATCCTACTCAATACAAGCACAAAATTGTATGAACTCAACATGTATAAAACATTCTCATAGTCTAGCTAAACGGACTTATGAAAGCACTAAAACTCCAAAAATCATTAGTCTCCTCAAAATTTGGCTAAAATACGTAGCACCAATTATTTCAAAATTAATCAGATTCCTCCCCTTAAATTCTAATTATTTTGATAAACCTCCCAAAAAATCTTTTAAAGCCACCCCTGAAGTTTCATAAAAACTAAGTGAAGTTAGGGTTCTTTCCCCAATAGTTTATTCTAGTTACAGATGCACCCCTGGTTTGGAAAACAAGTAGAGTCGCCTCTCCTGCAAGAGGGGTTTCAAATAAATTTTATATTCTATGGGAGTTAATGACGATTTAAAGAACTTAAAGCAAGGTTTCTGAAGAATCTCAAAACAAATAGAACCTATTAGTAAAAATTAGCCATATGAAGGTCAAGAAAATTCTTCCTAAAGTTTATTTAAAAACCTAGCTAGCTATTCCTCAGTTAACCTAAAACATTTTGTAATAAGCCTATACCTCATTGACCTAAAATGAATTGAAATGTTCTAAATATTTAATTTACTTGAGCAATAACCAAAAAAAGTGAAGAAATAAATTGATATGACGTTAAATTAATAAAAATTCCATTATTTAAATTAACTGATAAGTATTTATTAAAAAGAATAAAATAAAAGAGAACAAAGAACGGAATTACTAATTTACCTTAAGCGAAGAGAGAGCAAGTTCAATTTGATTATAGGAAAACCCTGCGCAGAAGAGCTTCTCGTAGACAGCTTTGAGCTTCTTGGCCTTTTGAGTCCTTTAGAGAGTATCCTGAGCCGGAGCCGAAACTAGCTCAGTAGGGCGGGCCAAGTTGAGGTGGAGGCGTCGCAGGCGATTCTCGTTCGCGGCCGAAATGTGTAGGCGTGGACCACAGGACGATGAAGAAAAAGAAGATGAATTTGATTTCTAATTGGCGTTTTTGTTGTTATTGTTTTGTTTCTGTGGCTTCTTTTTGGGAGCCATTTTTTAAGAGGAGTGATCGCAGTTGGAGAAAATTTAGTTGCCGGGCCATCCCAAGTTTCGATTTAAGAAAATGGCCTTGAAACTGTTTTTCATTTTTTTTTAATTTAGAGAAGATGATGTGGCATAGTTAGGATTAATTAAACACGTAAAATGGGTTAAAATAAAAAGATTAAAACATACTTAGGCCGAATCAGAAATAATGAAAGTTTTTAAAATTTGAAATTTCTCAAAATAAGCCCCACTATTCACCTTGCTTAATCGAAATTCATTAGGGCAAAAAGCGATTTCTTGTACCAAAGGGAGACGCGATTTTTTTCGATTGAACACCTGCAAATTTGCACCCTAAAATCAATTTCTTGAACCCTATACCGAATAAAGTCACGATTTCTGGTGATATAGTCGTGATTTCCGATCGATTTGTTGAACCCTAAAATTGATTTCCTTAACCCTAAACAGAATCTATGCGATTTCCAGTGATACAGTCCACATTTCCGATCGAAATTGCAAACTTTGACACCAAATTCAATCCAAAACCATGGCTAACACTCATAATGAGGAGGAAAACCCAACGCCACTTCGAATCCTAGATTCCGGTGGCACAAGCAGTTCAATGGCTGCTCCGGTGGATCATCTGATCAGTGAAAGTGGTCCACACGCAGAGGAGATGCTGGTGACACAAGAACAGAGGGAAAAACTGGCAAACAATTCTGAAGATGAGGAGTCAGGCGAGAATTCGGGCTAGGAGGAGTCGTCCGAGGATTCAGGCGATGAGGAGGAGGCCGGCGAAGAAAGGGTACGTTGTTTGGGAATATTGCTTGTACTGTCGCTTAAACGATCATTTGTATCGCTTAAGCGATTAATCTATTTTACTCATGATCGCACTTATGATCGCTTAAGCGATTGATGCAGTTTACTCTTAGTCGCTTAAGCGATCTTGTCAAGGCAGAATCACAGATATAATAAGCGATCTTTTGTATCGCTTAAGAGATTCTCAGTTTACTCTTGGTCGCTTAAGCGATTTCAGATCGCTTAAGCGATCTTGCACGAGGGAGAGTCGAGATCTCTTAAGCGATCCGAAATCGCTTAAGTGACTACAGTGGTAATTTTTTGTTGCTGATATTTTGTTTATTAGTTGTTTTGGTTTATTTTTGTTGCTGACATTTTGTTTATATCGATTATGCAGATTGTGCGGACCGTAAACTGTAGAGACTACAAGTTGGAGCCTATAAGTGAGAAGGTACCCTACTTCCCTGCAAGGGTGACGGTGAGGTCGAGTTGGGATGTTTTTGATAGAATAAGGGTCATTTTAGCTGGAATGAGGCGTGGTGAAAAAGATTTCAGTCGCACTTGTTTCGGTCAGTTTTTAAGAATCAGAACAAATTGGAAAAAGGCATTTTGGGGGCAGGGAGTGCATTACATGTTGCTGCACTCAGTAAAATGCAACAAAAAAAATGAAATATGGTTCGTGGTGGACGGAAAGCCACTACGGTTTTGGATGATGGAGTATGCCTTGGTGACGGGCTTAGGATATAGGGAAGTGCCAAATAAGGCAGAGGCAGACGCAATAAAGACGAGTCCGGGAGCCATAAGGTTTCGTAATAAGGTTTTGCAGGGGGCAAGTCTATTACAGGACACGTTTTAGAGGAGAGGCTAGAAACAGTTAGGTTTAATGATGGAGAGAAGATAAAAGTGTGCTTGCTATTATTTTTACATTTTATCTTATTGGCTGGTGACTCAACAAAAGATGTTGAGAAAGATTGGTTGTTATTTGCAAGTGACTTGGAGTTCTTTAATTCTTATCCATGGGGACGGATATCATTTAAGCGAACCATCAAGAGCCTGAAAAAACTAGACATGGCCTTAAAACATGCTGAATGGTGCGGGAAGGCTAAACCAAGCATGTATAATTTGTTTAGCTTCCCATCGGCAATGCAGGTAAATATTAATATCTCTCTGTTATATTTTTTATAATATATGTGTTTCAATTATGATATGGACTATTTTTTTACAATGTAGGCTTGGATGTATGAGGCCATCCCTATCTTCACTAAGGCGGGGGGGGGGAGGAGCAACAGTTTTGATGTGCAACAACAATTTCCTAGGATGTTGCGGTGGCATGTCGGGAAGTGTAACCATTCGGATTATGACCAAATAGAGATTGAGATTCAAGCGGCTGGGGTAAGATTAAAGGATTAAGCTTTTGAATATGCAGTTGCTTTTTGATTTTGCTTCAATCTGATTGATTTTGTTTCTTATTGCAGGGAGTCGTCCGTCCCTTTCTCACCACTACTAGGGATGAAGCGGAAGAGGACTATGTCACATCTTTCAAAGCAATGGAGGATGAAAAGGATGAACGGATAGACCACCTGATGCGGGACCTAAAAGGGGTCACGCATGTGATGGCAGTTGCAAGGCCATTGCTTGACAACGCCGTTGATGCCGAGGATTATGAAGCTCCAATGGGCGAAAGGCCCGAGGATGAGGAGGAGAAGAGGGAGAAAGAGGTTCGTATGCCTCAGCAAACTGGTACAACAAGTACTGCTTTGTCGAGACATCGACGTCGAGAGAATGAGGTTGTTGACCTCATAAACGGCCTATTTGAGAGTTTTACAACAGCCGTTTATGCAAGGTTTGACAAGATGGAAGAGTGCATGAAAAGGGTGGAGGAGAAAGTGGATAAGCTGAGAGAGAAAGTTGGTACAGTGGAGGAGGAAGTTGGTACATGGAGAAGAAAGTTGGTGGAGAATTAAAGGCGGTTGAAGTGCAAACTGGCTTGAAAAGAGAGAGCCGAAATAGCAAGTTTGTGAAATCACATGGTAGTGACACAGGTAAAGAAGAAGAAAATTAAGAAACAAATGGAGGAAGAACCAGAAATGGAGGAGGTTAAGGAGGTTGGTGGAGGAAGTGGGGCGGTGATAATGGAGGAGGGCGAGGTGGGAGGCGAAAGAAGCGGGGATGTAAAAATGGAGGAAAGGGGAGGAAGTGGGCAAGGGAAATTGGACTCAAATGTCGATTTGTGTAGGCCAATAGAGGAAAAGAAAAAATTGCCTATTACAATGGATCAGGAAGTAATGCCCATATAAAGTGTAAGACAGGGGATTATCCCCGGGAATGGTTTGAGAAGTTGTTGACGATGGGCACGTGGCTTGAGGACTCGGTGAGTTATTTTCGCTTAATTTTCCTTATTTTTGCCTATGTTTTCCATACTTATCTTGTTGTTTTTATTTGATGCAGCACATCGATGAGATATTGGCACTGATGAGGCTACGACAGACTACTGATGGTGATATGTTGTATACCGACTGTGCTATCACCGATGTGGCGTTTGGCCAAACGCTTGTTTCGGTATATCGTACTTTAATTAAAAATGTAGTTGCTAGTGGTGCAGCAAAAGGACTGAAGCGAAAAGGATTGGCCCCAGTACAGTTGGACTGCATCCCTGATGATTTTCATTTTGATGACAGAATTATGCAGTATATACGGGGGGATCGGCCTAAATATGGCCACGGTTGGGCCTTTGTTAAAAGAGTGTACTACATCATCCTTGTCAAACAGATGTACTGGATAGCAGTCGTTGCGCATCTAGAGGAGGGGTTGCTGAAGATCCTTGACTGCAACCCCACTATTTGTCGAGACAAGCAGTTGGAGGTCAAGTTGGAGCCACTGTCTAGGTTGTTCCGATGGCTGTTACGTGACAGCGGGATGTTTGGGCACTTGGGTGATCAAGTACTAACAGGAAGTGGCCAATTAAGCGCTCTACCGGCCCAATAAATGAGTCAAGGTAAACTTTGTATAAAACTAACTTACATAATACAATTGTTCTATAAGTTTATTCTAATGCTAATGTCTTCTTCCTATTGTAGTGCTGAATGTAGGGCATATGCCCTGAAATTTATTGAGTTTGACATGACCAACACTCCGATGGACGGGTTGAATGATAAAATAATGAGAGACTGTCAGGAGGGTTGGGCTGTCGACTGCTTCCATAGGCAGATGGATCCGTTTTGAGTGAGCAGAACCCAATAAAAAGGTATGAAAGTTGGACTTTGAATTTTGTAGTTTATGTGATGTTGATGTTGATACTTGGGTTGTGGTGCTGATGCTATAAGTGTCATGCTTATGTGGAGCTTTACCAAAAGACACGGACTGAGTGAACTTCTCACCTACCCACTTTGTAACTTTTTTACGTGTTTTTTTTTATTTACAAAAGTTGACGTGTCTGCAGGTGTGTGCCGGATAATTTTGCAGGTTCTTGGCAAACAATGAGAGGAAACTTCTCAAAGGCTATTTGGCAAGAGGAGGCATCTGCAATAAAGGCTGCTGGGAAGGCATGGTACCAAACAATGATCTCAGAAAGGTTGCTGGCAAACAAAATTCAAAAACTTCTCAAAGGCTGGTTGGCAGGAGGAGGCATCTGCAATAAAGGGATTGTGCAAAGGTGTTAGTGACATTAAACTCTTTGGCATCAAAAAGTAAATTAAAGGTTGTGTATAGGAAATTCTTGTGCTGTGGCTCTTCTTACGGCAGCCAAAAGCCTTGTGCCTACAGAATCATTGTAAAGAATTGGATCTGACGTTTGGGAGATATTTTTTTTTTGTCCATATAAGTATCTCATTAGTAGTTTGAATTTACTATGTATGGTGTGATCATTTGCTTCACCCAAGTTGGATAATGGTTTTTTAGCGTTTTGTTTCATTTTGTGTATCACTACAACGTGTGATAAACTAGTGTGATTATTTGATTCACCACAGTTGGGGCTAATGGTTAGCTTGTCCATATATTTCGATATTTGCCGCATCTTATGCCTATTTTTTATTTTGTGTTTCGATAAAAAGGTTACATTGATGTCTCTTATATTTTGATTTGTGATGAATTATATTGATATAAATGAGTGATGTACAAATGTTTCCCAATCACAGTCATTTCGAAATTAATTAACTTAAAGAATGGCATGGTACCAAACAATTATGTATATGACCGACCACATATATCTCTTAAACGACCAAGACTTTTCCAGATATGATCGCTTAAGCGATCTCAAATCGCTTAAGCGACCAAGAGTCTATTATGAAGCATCGCTTAAGCGATACATAAGATCGCTTAAGCGATTACCCATCTGGGTAGATGTTCATTCTACCTTGGCCAAGATTGCTTAAGCGATCCCAAATCTCTTAAGCGACAGAGACTCATTTAAGAAGAATCGCTTAAGCAATACATAAGATCGCTTAAAAAATCATAGATCTGGGTAGATATTCATTCTGCCTCGGACAAGATCGCTTAAGCGATCTCATAAGTGACCAAGAGTATTTTAAAAAATCACTTAAGCGATACAAATGGATTGCTTAAGCGATCATAGATCTGGGCAAATTCATTCTGCCTTGGCCAAGATCGCTCAAGCGATCAAGAGTCTTTTACAAAAAGCGCTTAAGCGATACAAATGGATCGCTTAAGCGATCATAGATATTGGTAGATTCATTCTGCCTTGGCCAAGATCGCTTAAGCGATCTCAAATCGCTTAAGCGATCAAGAGTCTTTTACGAAAATTGCTTAAGTGATACAAATGGATAGCTTAAGCAATTTTCGATCTGGGCATCTGTCGCGGGCTAGATCGCTTAAGCGATTACTGATCACTTAAGCGACCAGGAGTAAAAGCAAAGAATCGCTTAAGCGATACAGACGAATCTCTTAACAGACTATGTAAATATAGAGGATCGCTTAAGTGATCCTATGTATTCGGATATTATTTATTGTATTTCAGAGCATCGGTTAACCGATTAACGCTATGCTAAATATATAGGGTTTACGATTCGTTCAGTGGAATATGACCATTATTATATTTATATTAAACATATAGTTCTTTTACGTCAGTATGAAACATGTAAGGTGTAGACTGTTTACGTCTATGCTAAACATTTAGGGTTTACGATTCGTTCAGTGGACTATGACCATTATTATATTTATATTAAACATATAGTTCTTTTACGTCAGTATGAAACATGTAAGGTGTAGATTGTTTACGTCTATGCTAAACATATGGGGTTTACGATTCGTTCAGTGGACCATGACCGTTATTATATTTCAAAAGTAACCATGGAATCTTAGTGAACATATGTTCTTCTTCTTTGTTCAGAACATAAAGGGTGCGTTTGGTTGAATATTCCTATAAATATTACAAATCTTATTCCCATAATATTTATTTGTTTAATTATTTAGGAAATATTAGTATTTTTTTAATAAATTTTAGACTCATTAACTAAATTAATTTCATTAATACCGCCTGAAAAAGTTTAAAAAGTAACAAAAACACCTCTACCCACCCAACTTCCCAGATTCTGGCACCACCGACGGCTACAAACGACCGAAAATGGTCGGTAATTCACAGATGTGACATTTTTCGGCCAGATTCACTATGGATCTAATCGGAAAAGGCCACATTTGGTCGTCATCGACTTTCAAAGAAATGGCCGACGTTGATAGTCAACGACGGCCAAATGTTGGGCATCGTTGACCGAAAACAACGGCCATATATTTGGCCATCGTAGACAGCCAGATGTAGACTTTTTGGTCCGTCGACGGCCAGATGTGGCCGTGATCTGGCCTTTTCCGGCCATATCGATGCCCTATCAGCCTGATCCGACCGCTATGTGTCGTAACACCCTTTCTCGGTAGGATTCCAACGATGGTAGCTGGAATCTGGGAAGTTGGGTAGGTTGGGGTGTATTTGTTAAATTTTAAAATTTTTCGTTGGTCGATTAAGCGATCATACTAAAAGGAACTTCGTTTACACAGGGTCGCTTAAGCGATCGTAGATATCGCTTAAGCAATTCTTTTCTTTTTCACTTGGTCGATTAAGCGATCGTGGATCGATTAAGCGATCATGTGATTAGCAGAATCAAATCTGCCCAAGTGCATGATCGCTTAAGCAATCCGAGATATCGCTTAAGCGATTCTTGTCTTTTTGTCTTGGTCAATTAAGCGATCATGCACCTGGGCAGGCTTAAGCAATCCGTGATATCGCTTAAGCGATCCTGTTTGAAAAACCCTTTGTCGCTTAAGTGATATACTTAGTCGCTTAAGCGATCATGGGCAATATATACTTTTCCAGCTTTTCTCCTGAATTTTGACAAACTAAAATGACCAACATGTATTAATTCCATACTTTCTCCTCAATTTGACAACCTAATTCCAAACTAAAATCACCAATAAATATTTAGGCCATGTAACAAGAAATATAAAGAATGATTTATTAAAGGTAACAATGAAATTTATAACATCAATAATTGAAAACAATAACTCATCAACGGTTGGCCTTCGCAACTCCCTGAATTTCATCCTTCTTCGAACCTAATTTTCTGGATCTGCATGTGATTACTTCTGGCAACTGGAGAAAACTTTAGTGCGGGCCATCCAAAGTTTCGATGTAAGGAAAAGGGCCTTGGAAACTGTTTTTCATTGTTTTTAATTTAGAGAAGATGATGTGGCGGGACATAGTAGGATTAATTAAACAACGGAAATGGTGTTATTTAAATAAAAAGATTAAAAACATACTTAGGCCGAATCAGAAATAAGGAAAGTTTTAAAAATTTGAAATTTCTCAAAAATAAGCCCCACTATTCACTGCTTAATTCGAATTCATTAGGGCAAAAGAGCGTTCTGTACCAAGGGAGGGACGCGATTTTTTTCGATTGGGGGGGGAACACCTGCAAAATTTGCACCCTAAAATCATTTTTGAAACCCTATACCGAAAAATCACGATTTCTGGTTGATATCGGTCGTGATTTCGATCGATTTGTTGAACACCTAAAATTGATTTCCCTTACAAACGACCAAAAGAAAAAAACCAATCTATGCGATTTCCAGTGATTAAGTCCACATTTCCGTCGAATTGCAAAACTTGACACAAATTCAATTCCAAAACCATGGCTAACACTCATAATGAGGAGGAAAACCCAACCCAACTTCGAACCTAGGATTCCGGGCAACAAGCAGTTCATGGCTGCTCCGGTGGATCATCTGTCAGTGAAAAGTGGTCCACACGCAGAGGAGGATGTGGTGACACAAGAACAGAGGGAAAAACTGGCAAACAATTCTGAGATGAGGAGTCAGGCCGAGATTCGGCTAGGAGGATCGTCCGAGGATTCAGGCGATGAGGGGAGGCCGGGAAGAAAGGGTACGTTGTTTGGGATAGCTTGTTGTACGGTCGCTAACGTATCATTTGTATCGTTAAGTGCGTTAATCTATTTTATATGATCGCACGTATGATCGCTTAAGCGATTGCAGATTTACCTTAGTCGCTTAAGCGATCTTGTCAAGGCTAGAATCACAGGATATAAGAAAGCGATTCTTTGGTATCGCTTAAGATTCTAAGTTACTCTTGGCGCTTAAGCGATTTTCAGATCGCTTAAAGCGATCTGTGCACTGAGGGAGAGTCGAAGATCTCTTAAGCTATCCTGAAAACCCCCCCCCCCCCCCCCCCCCCACATCGCTTAAGGTGAATACAGTGGTAATTTTGTTGCTGCATATTTGTTTATTAGTTGTTTTGGTTATTTTTTGTGCTGACATTTGTATACGATTATGACAGATTGTGCGGACCGTAAAACTGTAGAGACTACAAGTTGGGAGCCTATAATGGAAGGTACCGCACTTCTCCTGCAAGGGTGACAGGTGAGGTCGATTGGGAGTGTTTTGATAGAATAAGGGTCATTTAAGCTGAATGAGCGTGGTGAAAAAGATTCCTTAGTGCGCACTTGTTTCGGGTCAGTTTAAGAGATCAGCAAAATTGGAAAAAAGTTCATTTTGGGGGCAGGGAGTGCCTTACAGTTGCTGCACTCAGTAAAAATGCAACAAAAAAAATGAAATATGGTTCGTGGTGGAACGGAAAAGCCTACGGTTTTGGATGTGGAGTATGCCTTGGTGACGGGCTGAGGATATAGGAAGTGCCAAATAAGGCAGAGGCCAGACCAATAAAGACGAGTCCGGGAGCCATAAGGTTTCGTAATAAGGTTGTGCAGGGGGCAAGTCTGTACATGAACACGTTTAGAGGACGAGTAGGCTAGAAACAGTTAGGTTTAATGTGGAGAGAAGATAAAAAGTGTGCTTGCTTTATTTTTACATTTTAATCTTATTGGCGTGGTTGACCTCAAACAAAAGAAGTGAGAAAGATGGTTGTTATTGCAAGTGACTTGGAGTTCTTAATTCTTATCCATGGGGCGGATATCATTAAGCGACCATCAAGACTGAAAACTAGACATGGCCTTTAAAACATGGCGAATGGTGCGGGAAGGGCTAAACCAAGCATGTATAATTTTGTTTAGCTCCCATCGGCAATGAGTATAATGGTAATATCTCTCTGTTATATTTTTATAATATATTTGTTTATAGATATGGACTATTTTTTTACAATGTAGGCTTGGATGTATGAGGCCATCCCTATCTTCACAAGTCGGGGGGGGGGAGGACAACAGTTTTGATGTGCACACACAATGTCCTAGGATTTGCGTGGCATGTCGGGAGTGTAACCCATTCGGATTAATGACCAAATAGAGATTAGATTCAAGCGGCTGTGGGTAAGATGAAGGATTAAGCTTTTGATATGCAGTGCTTTTTTGATTTTGCTTCAATCGATTGATTTTGTTTCTTATTGCAGGGAAGTCTCCGTCCCTTCTCACCACTACTAGGGCATGAAGCGAGAAGAAGGACTATGTCACCATCTTCAACAGCAATGGGAGGATGAACAAGGATGAACGGATAGACCTACTGATGCGGGACCTAAAAGGGGTCAGCGCATGTGCTGGAGATGCAGGCCATTGCTTGACAACGCCGTTGATGCGAGGAAGCTTATTTTGTGAAGGCTCCAAGGGCGAAAGCCCCAGGCAGGCAGGAGGAGAGAGGGAGAAAGAGGTTCGTATGTCTCACAACTGGTACAACAAGTATTCTTTTTCGAGACATCGACGTCGAGAGACAGAGGTTGTTGACCTCATAAAGGCCTATTTGAGGAGTTTACAACAGCCGTTTGCAAGGGTTGACAAGATGGAAGAGTGCATGAACAAGGGTGGAGGAGAAGGATAACTGAGAGAGGAAGTTGGTACAGTGGCAGGAGGAATTAGCGGTACAGGAGAAGAAAGTGGTGGTGCGAGAATTACAGGCGGTTGAAGTGCAGAACTGGCCTGACACAAGAAGAGCCGAAATAGCAAGTTTGTAAAAATCGCCGTGACATGGGTAGGACACAAGTAAGAGAAAGAATATAAGAAACAAATGGCAGGAAGAACCAGAAATGGAGGAGGTTTTAAGAGGTTGGTGGAGAATGGAGCAGTGATAATGTGAGGAGGGCAGGGTGGGAGGCGAAAGAAGCGGTGGGTGAAAAAATGAAAGGGAGGGAAAGTGGGAGGAAGTGGGCAAGGGAAATTGGGACTCAAATGTCGATTTGTGTAGGCCAATGAGGAGGAAAGAAAAGAATTGGCCTATTACAAGGTATGAAGTAATGCCCAATATGGGTAAGACAGGGGATATCATCGAGAATGGTTTGAGAAGTTGTTGGCCGAGTGGCACGTGGACTTGAGGACTCGGTGAGTTATTTTCTCTTAATTTTCCTTATTTTGCCTATGTTTCCCATACTTATCTTGTTGTTTTAATTTGATGCATCACATCATGGAGATATTGGCACTGATGAGGCTACAACGACGACTATGATGGTGAGATGTTGTATACGATGTGCTATCAACCGATGTGGCTTTGGGCCAAACGACTTGTGTCGGTATATCGTACTTTAATTAAAAAATGTAGTTGCTAGGGTGCGCAAAAGGACTGAAGCGAAAAGGATTGGCTCCCCAGTACAGTGTGACTGCCAATCCCTGATGATTTCATTTTGATGACAGAATGATGCAGTAATCTACGGGGGGAATCGCCTAAATATGGCCACGGTATGGGCCTTTGTTAAAAGAGTGTACTAAATCATCGTTGTTCAAAACAGATTGTACTGGATAGCAGTCGTTGGCATCTAAGGACGGGGTTGCTGAGATCCGTTGACTGCCAACCCCACTATTGTGCGAGACAGCAGTTGGAGGTCAAGTTGAGCCACTGTCTAGTGTTCGATGGCTGTTACGTGGACAGCAGGATGTTGGGCACTTGTGGGTGACAGAGTACTAAGTGAAGTGGCCAATTAAGCGCTCTACCGGCCCAATAAATGAGTCAAGGTAAACTTGTATAACAACTAACCTTACATAAAACATTGTTCTATAAGTTTATTCTAATGCTTAAGTCTTCTCCTATTTGTAGTGCTGAATGTAGGGCATATCCCTGAAAATTATTGGTTTGACATGACCAACACTCCGGTGGCCGGGTGAATGATAAAATAATGAGAGACTGTCAGAGGTTGGCGGTCGACTTGCTTCCATAGGCCGATGGATCCTTTTGAGTGAGCAGAACCAATAAAAAGGTATGAAAGTTGGACTTGACATTTTGTAGTTTATGTGATGTTGATTTTGATACTTTGGGTGTGTGGAGCTGATGCTTTATAAGTGTCTGCTTATGGGAGCTTTAAACCAAAAGAACGGACTGAGTGAACTTCTCACCTACCCACGTTGTAACGTTTACTTGTTTTTTTTATTTACAAAGTTGACGTGTACTGCAGGCGTGTGCCGGATAATTTTGCATGGTTCTTTGGCAACAATGAGAGGAAAACTTCTCAAAAGGCTATTTGGGCAAGAGGTGGATCTGCAAAGGTCTCTGGGAAGGCATGGTACAAACTGATCTCAGAAAGGTTGGCTGGCAAACAAAATTCAAAAACTCTCAAGGACTGGTTGGCAGGAGGAGGCATTGCATAAAGGGATTGTGCAAAGTGTTAGTGACATTAAAACTCTTTGCATCAAACAAGTAAATTAAAGGTGTGTATAGGAATTCTTGTGTGTGGCTCTTTTACGGCAGCCAAAGCCTTGTGCCTACAGAATCATTGTAAAGAAGGATTGGACGTTTGGGAGATATTTTTTTTGTCCATATAAGTATCTCATTAGTAGTTTGAATTTACTATGTATGGTGTGATCATTTGCTTCACCAAGTTGGTAATGGTTTTTTAGCGTTTGTTTCATTTTGTGATCACTACAACGTGTGATGTTACTAGTGTGATTATTTGATCACCACAGGTGGGCTAATGGTTAGTTGTCCATATATTTCGATATTGCGCATCTTATGCTATTTTTATTTTGTGTGTTGATGATAAAAGGTTACATTGATGTCTCTTATATTTGATTGTGAGGAATTATTGATATAAATGAGTGGATGTTACAAACTGTTAGAGAGTGTCCTGAGCCGGAGTCGAAGCTGTCTCGGCAGGGCGGGCCGAGTTGAGGAGGAGGCGTCGCAGGCGGTTCTCGTTCTCGGCCGAAATCTGTAGGCGTGGACCGGAGGACGATGAAGAAGAAGAAGAAATTGATTTCTTATTGGCGTTCTTGTTGTTGTTGTTCTGTTTCTGTGGCTTCTTTTTGGGAGCCATTTCTGAAGAGGAGTGATCACAGTTGTTGCAAGTGGAATGAAAGAGAAGATGACTCCCCCTCTTATGTTGTAGCTTTTATATACTCTTCTGGACGAAAGTATCACTTTTGTAAAATCTCAGGACGAATGAGTATTTTCTCTTGGGCCTGTCACCTGTCCTCCCCTTAGGTTTAAAGAAATAATAGGGTTTATTTGTTTTTCTATTTTTTTTTTTTTTTTTTTGAGTATCCTTCGACCTTCAATATCTCAATATATCTTTAGATCTCTATTAATTTGTAAAAGCAATCATGTTCTATTTTATTAGTTTTTACTATCATTATTGTTTGTATAAAAAATCTCACATCCACCAAGAGACGATGATTTTGGTCCTTTATATAACACAAAAATATTTTTATCATCTAAATGTGTCCTCTCAAGATAAAACTGTATGGGTCA